TTTCCTTTGGCGTCCTCACAGCTGTCCTGAAGTCCTTTCCAGGCCAGACTTTCTCCCTGGGATGCCCCTGGGTGCTTCTAATGCCAAATGTTAAAAACAAACTCCTGATCTGTTCTTCCAGTTCCCCTTTGTCCTCTGCCAACCCTGCTCCCCCTCCTCCCCAAACGGCAACTATGACTTCTAGCTCCAGAATTTCTGTTTTCTCTGCTATTGGATTAACTTCTTCATCCACTACTTGAGCTTATATTAAACCAGTGGCTTTCTAACTTACTTTCTTGCCTCAAACCTCTCGCCTTTCTAGTATATCCTCCACGTGTAGCCAGAGGCACCCCAGTTGTTTCCCCAGAGTTGTTTCCTCAGAGGAGCTCTCCTGAGTCTGATTAAGATCAGGTTCTTGTGTTTGCGGTAAGAATTCAGAGACAAAGCATAGTAAGCCAAGCAGCAAGAATATTTTATCTAAGGTGAAAGTACACCCTCAGACAGGTGCAGGCAGCCTCAGAGGAGAGAGATGAGGTGCGCTGGAAGGTTTTAGGGTTTGGGTGTTTACAGGGTCTTTTGAATATGCATTCATAGACGGCATGATGTACATAGGTGGTTAATATTTGCTGTGAAGTTTGTCTTAAAAAGAGGGTGCTGATTTGCCAAAGTGTATGTGTTGGTTCGTTTACACTCTGGAGGTCTCTGTTTTTGTCCTGGACACAACATTACTAATTGGTTAATGTGACTGGAAGAAGGAAACTATGTTAAAGAATAACCTGGATGCTTACTCATAGGCCAAGAATATTTTATAGTGGCATGATGCTTGTCCCATGTCCCTGTCTCTAACGCACCCTTGCCTACAGGATGGGGACTAGACTTAACGTGGCATATACCTGGCCCATCCCAGTGAGACCATGCCCTCCTGCGAACTTTCTCTCTTTCCAAGGAATACTTTTTTAGTATAAGTATGACCCACATATTGAATGGGACATACTTACACTGAAAGATTACTCATTGTTCAGTAGAAATTTAAAGTTAACTAGAAGGTCTGTATTTTTACAATCTGGCAGCCTTACACATGGATCACTTTGTTCTGTAGTCTAGTCAAAAACACAGTAGTTTCTTGCTTTACTCATTTGCACCTTGCTCTGATCTAAGAAAATAGCAGTTGCAGGAACTTGCTGACTATAAAATGTTTGATGTTTATGAAATCTTTCATATCTGTATGTTAAAAATGGGGATATACTAATAGGGTCTCAGTAACAATGCATTTTTGCTCAAGGTACTAACTTGGAAAACCATGTTTTAGATTCAGGTGTGATTATGACTTCTGAAAGGAGGGAATCCTCATTCAGGAAGATGAACTCCAATTAAATTTACTCTTCCCTTTTGTTTATGGAAATCTTAATCACCTTAATTATTTAATGGTTTTTAAAGATCTTTTCTGGAGAAGAAACTAAGTTATCATGCTTTGGTCTTACCTCTAACTTTGTGTCACTTTTTTTTATCTTGTGCAATATTTTTGTCTTGTGAACAACAGCTACAATATGATTTTCAATTTATTTTATGTTCTGAAGCATGTTCAACTTTGATGTTGATAAGCAAGTTTGTGAGTTATTTTTTTTAATGACTGACTAAATTGTTCTGACATTAAATATACTGAGTGTTCTGATATGTAAGATTTTAATTATTCTGATAATATAAATAGTTAAATATTCTGATAAGGAAACCTGTTTGGACTAGAACAAACCATCATCAACATTTATCAGAAGATAAAGACCTATAAATAAAGAGCTCCAGTGGATTAAGAAAAAATCCCAATTAACAGCCAGTTCGCAGAGAAAAAAAATACAGATGGCTGCAATTTTTTTTTTTTTTAGATAAAGTTCTTTACTTCATAAAAGATTCACTTAGGTTTAAAGGAGGCAATGGTTCATGTCTGATAGAGATCAGCACATAATACCCAACCCTGACTTGAAATCAAGAAGCGTCATGTGACTAAGGGAGCATGCCGAACCAAAATGGATGGCTATAATTTTTTAGAAAAGTTTTGAATCTTACAAGTAATGAGGAAGATGGACATTGAAATGAGTTTTTAATCTTTAATTTGGGTGTTCAGGTTGGGAATGTGAGAAGTCTCATATTACTGGTGGGATATAAATTAGTACAGGCTTTGAAAGTATGGCTTTATCTCTTGAAATTTTAAAATGTAGATACTATTTGACCCATTGATTTCATTTCTAGGTCAGGAGTCTTTCCTATGTAACTAATGGAGGCATGCACAACAGTGTTTATTGAGTCAGTAACGGAGGCATGCACAACAATGTTTATTGAGTCAGTGTTGATAAAGCAAAAAACAAATACACAAAACATAAAACCCTTCTCAACAAGATCAGTGTAAGAATGTTTATCAGTTTTGATCTAGCCTTACTATAAATTATAA